GTAAATTACTGAAATCGTCCATGCGGTTTGGTCAGAATTGCACGTTTGGTCCCTAATTTTTTTTTGCACTCGGATCGTCGTTGTGGTTTGATTTTGTTGTGTTTTTCGTCCCTATGGTTTGGTAAAAATTACATGTTTGGTCCCTAATTTTATGTATGTAAGGGACGAAAAATACAACAAAATCAAACCACAAGGACAAAAAATGCAACAAAATCAAGCCATAGGGACGATCCGAGTGCAAAAAAAAAAGTTAGGGACCAAACGTACAATTTTTACCAAACCACATGGACGATTTCAGTAATTTACTCAAAAATATAACATTTATTGGATAAAGTTAAATTATATTTTTAGTAATTTTTGTTTTTTAATATCTATTTGGCACAATAATAAAGATAACATTTATTGTATAAACTATGAACTAGTATCAATGACATATTTGTAAATGACCTTTATTTTTCTCAAATTGAATTATTTAATTTTAAGGTTGAGTCGTGATCTGTTTTCTTTTGAATCTTTCAAATTTAGATGAAAAAAAACTTAACCAGGTTTAAATTATACCAAAATAACAAAATTGACGGTGAATAAATTTTTTACCATGCTTGAAAATTTGTAATAAAATAATTACCCGTTTAATAAAAGTGATTTGCAATCTTAATAATTAACAGCTTGGTGAGATGTGTTGAGATCAATAAACAATCTAAGCTAGCTTTTGAGAAGACAATTGGGTCTAGGGGTGTTCGTGGATGGTTCACCGAATCAAACTTCCCGAAACGATCTGTTCAATAATTTCTTAAACCTAAACCGAAAAACTCGGTTAATCAGTTTTCAGTTGACCTATTTTTCCAAATTTGGTTATTCGGTTAACCTATTAACCGTTTATGAATTAGTAAATCTTTTTTAAAATTAAAAAAACTGAACAGTTAATATTCAAAACAAGGATAATAGTTCGCTACAATCTTTAAGAAAAAATTAAAACGTTGAATATAAGTTGTTAGTTATTTGCAAAATTTTCCTTGTGTGTTTATTTATTTATTTATTTATTTTTAATTTTTACACTGCTCGGAAGCAAGCATGCAAGTCACTAATTAAGAAGGTACATTTTCTCATCGTATCCTTTAGCGGCAACTTTGTATTGTGTAGTCAATTAATGCAACTCAGCAAGAGGAACTGATGGTTGAAGGGAAAAATAAGCATTTGAAGTGTTTTTTTTCTCGGGATAAGTTTCAAAGAAGTTTTTTTTTATATAGATTACGGTTTATAAAGTTTTTGTATGGATAATGGTTTATAAAGTATTTCAATGTGTTTAATCTTTAGAATCATTGAATGTCATTTAAAAAAAAAAAAATAATAATAATAATAATAATAATAATAATAATAATAAAAAAAAAAAAAAAAAACTCACTAAGATGGTCTTTTTTGATTTGTAGTTGGCATACACATCTAATAATTTGAAAATGACAATTTTGATGATCTTGTTAATTGTGATTTATGATACATGGATACCTTCGGGACAGTTGTGAATATTCTAAAAGATTTTAAAGGTGGAAAAAGAAAAAAAAAATGGATCAATGCCCTTAATTTTTAATTTTGTATTATTGCAAATGTGGGGAATAAAACAAATTCAACTTCAAACTTTCTAAAAATAAATTTTTTTCCTCAATTAAAAATTCAATCCTAATGACCCCTGAAAAACTACCTTAAGCTTTTTTGTTGTGTATCTTTATTTTTCTCGGTTGTTGTAAAAAATGATTATTTTGACCATTTTCACATTTTTCTCAAACTTGACTATTTCACAATTTTGACATTTTTACCATTTCAACATTCTTACATTTGGACCGTTTTCACATTTTTACATTTGGACCTTTTTGGCATTTTAAAAATAGGCCTACAAAATAACCATTTTGATTATTTTACAATTTTACATTTTGAATTATAGTGACATTTTGAATTATAGATTTTGAATTATAGTGACATTTTGGCCACAATCATGTTGGCCTCTTGAATCTTGATTGAATATGCTCCATAAGAAACACCTCGATGCAACCTTAAGTAGTCTATTGAAGCTTCATAGTTTTAAATGAGTTGCATATTTGATCATTTACAACTTTTCATAGATAAAATTTAACTATTCTAGCATTGGGGTAAAATGGTCCAAAGAGAGGGTTGGTTTTACACACCTGTGGGTAGTGACCAAAAGGGTGTCATTGAGGTAGATTGTAAAACATTTATAGAAATAAACTCAAATTGGGGAGAAGGTGGTAAGAAGACATGTTGTCATTTTTTTTTTGTGGTGTTTTATTTTCTTGCTTATGAATATTGTAATTCTTTTTAACTGTTTTGAAATAGAATATATTTTGTCTATTAATTTCAATAATAAAAATAAGAATGCCAAACCTATAACAAAGTAAAATCAATATTTTTTTTATTACACCGGTCAACTGTCCATCGGACGGGTATAACACTAGCTTTAAGAACGGTTATGAGGAAGTGTCTAGGTTGACCTTTTTTTGTTCAATTTCTTTTTGAATTTCATAAGTCAATGTATAAAAATGCAATTACAAAATTTATTATTTACCCAAAAGGGATCATATCAAATAAAAATAAATTAAATAAAGAAATCATTGTTATCTAAGATCCAAAAAAGAACAAACAATGGAAGAGGCAAGTAACAATATTCAACTCTATTATTTCCACTCTATTATTTCCACATATTACAAAGTTAATGAATAATTAATTTATAAGTATGCTATATTACTAGGGATGCAAACAGGGCGGATATCAGCGGGGGTTACAATTATCATCCCCATACCCGAACTCCGATCACCACAGCCATCCCCGCCCCCGACCCTCCTAAAACCCGATGGATTCGGTTGATAAATTCTCCAATGGGTATTAGAAACCTGATGGATACCTAATTAATTCAAAATTTTATACCAAAAACAAAATAATATATTTAATTCTGATTTTTAATTCAAAATCTAATATTTAATGTCAAAATAACAAAAGGTTAAAAACAAAGTAGCAGTAGTTTAACTTTGTCTCATTTCGTAAAAAGAAGTGGATCCCTTTCCATTATATTATAGCAAACGTTCTAGACGATTTTTGTTTTACCAGCGATGTGGGATGGAATCAAAATACTTGTAAACCAAAGATAGAACACTAATTCAACCATATTGATGTAATTATTAGGTAATTAATTAATTTCTTAATTAACTGATTCTTGAAAACAAATTACACGTACATTGTCAATATTATTTTAGTGGGCACTGGATAGTAGTTAGCATATAATCTAAATCGAGTCATTTCAATGTATCCATGGCCATAACTTTAAACCCTATTTCAGCAAATAATATAGCTTTTAACTCATTAACATAAATTAATTACGTAACAAAATGACCTAACAATTCAACTCTCGACAAACTTTGTAAAATATAATTATTACTTACTCAATTTTTAAGAAATATGATGGATATATTAGTGTAGCCACTGATTAACACCAATATAAAACCATATAATCCAGTTTTATATTTCTGTCGATATTATATTCCTCTTAGGCAAATGAGGCAATCAATATTCTAAATGTTTTGACCCACATCGATGCAAAAAAAATCTAACGTGGAGAGTCTATGTTCAATAAATATAGTCCTAGCACTCTACTCATATTTATCTTTCCGCTTCTTAGCAAAACAATTTAGGGAAATTCGTATGTATCATCTAGAAGCATAGTAAAATCCTTTATATTTATTTTCATGGGATATATGTAATCGGGTATTAAATGGGGCGGATAATGCTATATCCATCCCCGCCCCATCCCCGTTTCGGGTATAAAATTTAACCTCCATCCCTGATCCATTACCCGTCAAGCCAGGGAATCCCCGCCCTATTAGGGTCGGGTACCCGAATACACAGGTCAAATTTGCATCACTATATATTACAGTGAAGCAAATAAGCAGATTAGATTACAGTGAAGCAATTAAGCAAATCAGATAACAGAAACGATATAATATAAATTAAAAATCAATAGCCAAGTATTTAGTATATAATGAAACAAAATTAACTAAATTTAGAACTTATGTACAAGCATAGCCTTTAACTTCCTTTTGACATCGATGGTGAATCAATAGAGAACCCAAGTGAGTACAAAATTAAATAAGAAACTATGCTAATTGCGCACTAATAAATGAAAATAAAACATGTTAAATGCTTATTTATGCAACCATGTTTCATTTTCTTTACCAATTTATGCATCAACATTTCACCTTTTTCCCATTTTATGTATCAACATTTCACCTTTTTCCCAATTTATGTGTAATGGATTATCAGAATAACAAGAAATGCAATAGCCAAGAATTTTTTTTGGTGAACAACAATGGTAATAAAACAAGATTGTAGTAGCAATTCGAGAGGCTACGGTATCCAATAGAAGAAACTTCTAAGAATAAAATCTAATACCACTACTAGAAAAACAGCCTTTTACGACGCTCATTGCGCATCTTAAGCGTCGTAAAAGGCTCAGACGACGCGCAAATGCGCGTCAAGGAAGGCCCTGTCATAAAGAGAGACGACGCGCATTTACGACGCGCGTTTACAACACGCAATGTGTATCAAGGAAGGCCCTGTCATAAAGAAAGACGACACGCATTCGCGTGTCGTAACCTTACAACACTCGTGTTAATGACACGCAATGTGTATCAAGAAAGCTCCTATCAAGAAAGGCCATGTCATAAATGAAGATGACACACATTTTTGCATATTGTAAATTTAAACGTTTAAAAAAATATTTATATATTTATTAATTTTTAAATTAAATTTTCATTTAATGTCTCATAATAGAAATAAAATACCATATACAAAAAATACAATCCATTGCATAAAATTTAATGTCATGGAATTCTATTTCTTACAAGATATAAATTTACATTCATCTAATCTATTATGTGTTTCATACTAACACTTGAAATGAAGAATGCAACACTTGCATTTGCAACATCTTATCTCTTTCAGCTTAAGCTTTCTTTTCCTCTTCTAACTCCAGAGCTATTCGCTTTCATCAACCCTGTAAGCACAACACAAGAAATAATGATATGATTTCCTTCAATGTGGAGACATCCTTACATGCTTCTTCCTCCAAATCTATACCAACTTTGACATTTCCATTGGCATGATCCGCATATAGAGTAGATGTGATCTCCATAGCATTAAGCCCAACATTCTCAGCTAATGTTTTTGGTATCATTTCAAAGCTCTCTGCAAATTTTCCAATTGCATAATGATCTAATCTGCATCATATCAATCATCAATCAGAAAATAAATTTATTAAAACAAAAACTACTCATTCAGATTACCTACCCTGTCTCCGAGAAAGAAAACTCCTTTAGTTTTCTTGCTAATTCAATTTCAGTGGCTACTGCTCCAAGCACAATTCTATTGTCCTTGCATAAAGCCTAAAAAAATACAAGGAATAAAAATATAATTTTTCCAAGTAGTAATGCATTTTATCTTGTTACTAAACGCAAAAACAAGAAGCAACAAAATTATTAAGTCTAACTTTAGGTTTTTCCTAAAAATAATTCCTTTCATTTCCCAAACTGCCCTCTCATTGTTTTTTGGTGAAAGAAAAAAGAAGGTCCAAATTACCTTGTAAGTATTTACACCATCATCAACAGCCATTTCCGTATCATCAAGTATGCTATATGTACTTCCACGCAGCAAAACCATTGTCACAGAGTTCCCACCTTGTTCGTTTCTTACAACAGTCACCTACACAACAAACAACAGGGGCATTTTTGTCTTTATAAAAAAAATGTAATTTTTGTCCTCTTGACATCAATCTCAGTCACCAAACCAAACAAACGAGAAATGATGTTTCATAATCATACATACCCTAGCATCACCAATTTCCTCTACAGAAATAGAGTCAACATATCCAAGATCATCAGGATTCACAGCACCAAGCTTCAACTGCAATTATATAAATTATTAGCAATTATATATATATATATATATATATATATATATATATATATATATACATATATATATATATATTCAAAGTTCAAACAAACACTAAAGATATTAAGTACATATGTCATCTGCCCAGTGAAAAATCATAGGGTACATTATATTGCTTCATGTAAATAAGAAGTTGTTTCATAAAGATATTAAGTACATATGACATCATATAGCTTAATAAGAATAAGAAGTCACGTAAGTTTTTAACGCATAACTTACTAAACTGAAATCTTTTACAAACATAGGTAGCTTAAGTAGATATATTAATGGTTAACTGCAACAAGAAAAAGAGAACCAGAACCAATGTATAATATAGTGGCAATTATGGAACTATAGATTGTTTCCTTCAAGGTATTTTGTTTGTATGTTGATTTTTCAATCTATAAAATAAAATAAAAAGGCAAAAAAACAAAGGTATATGATTTGCTACATTGTTGATTAGAAATTTAGCAAGTGTAGCTAAATTAAAGCACAAGTTATTAACACATATATCCAGAACTTGGCTTCTTCTGTATAAACAAGAAGTAATTATTAGGTAGAGAAGCAGAATGGGTGTAGTAAACTAGTAATAGAGTATAATAATAGTAAATTGATAACCAGATACACAAGTCCAAAATTGGATTGGGTTGGCTAGGAAGGAACGAGAGCAAGGATCTGAGTTTTAACTCTTCCCATGCACATTTCAATCTCTCTAAATATCCCAAGGTTTTGAGAGCTTAGTGGATGCAAATTTCTAAAAGTTGAATCCAGTATCTGCACCACATCCCCTGGTGGGTATTGTCTCTCTGTACAGCTCTGCACAATCATCATCCACAAAACCAATTAAATTAAATACTTCTTCCATTATAAATAATATTTAAATTATATTATAAGTAACTACTCACTCACCTGTATCATGTGATACGTAGCAACACAAGACACAATAAGATCAAACGGGATTTTTACTTCAGTTTCATTCGCTACACGCTTATTATTAGACCTTTTTATCAAGAGCACGAGTAAGCTTAGAGAGTGCATGTATATCGGTTTCTCTTGCCTGAATTTTAGAGGCTGATGCTAGATAATAACATTGTTTGCAGCTTTAAGAGGTGCACCGGACCCATTTTGTCCCTAAACAACGTATAATTTTTAATTTTATTAACATATGTTCTGGGTATTTTTTTTTACAAAAATAATTTTAAGAAAACTAACCAGTCGATGATTCATCAAAGCAATAGGAGGACCCGGTTCGAAATTCGCACTCGAACTATGCACCAATGAATGATGCTTTACAAATCTACAAAAGACATCGATTGTCATATTCAAGGCCTTTTCTTTTTCCTGCATAAACATTATACAATTCATAAGCCTGGTCAATAGTCTCTACAAATAGCTAAAAAGGTGAAAGTTGTGCACTAACCTTCTCCGAAGATGATGAACGAGACTCTTCCCAATGTCTCTTGAAGTCCAACTCCAGTTCATATTTGTCTCTGAGATGCAAGGAGATAAATGTAAATCATGACCTTTCATCCTTTCTTATAATGGAAATTTTACAGTCTTATTCCTTTTATAGGAGAAATCTAAAACTGAGATCTCAAAAGCCAGAATTATAGAGAAAACAGTAAAAGTTCGTTTATAAGATGTGACTTATTATGAGAAAGAGCTTCATCTATTATGAGTAGCCACTCTTACATCAAAGAATAATTAGAAGCTATAGAGTGAGAACTATAGTAACCTTATTTAAGCAGCATAAACATATAAGTACAACAGTCCTATATCCCAAACCTTGTATTATAATTATCAGAATCTCGTAATAACAAAGGATTATGATCACTTATTCAATCTACAGGTGGTGAAGAACAGCTGGAATCTATTCTTTGGCTGAAGATGAAGATAACCAAGTAAGAGTTGTGAGTTGTGACCATACTTTTTAAGCTCATATCATGACTCACCTTTGATTTCACCAAGTGCAGCCTCTAGAGAATTCTCATCATCCTCCTTAAATATTACATGAAAGTTAGCAAGGATAAAAGTTGTTCCTATTGCTATTGACCCCGGACTAATAACACCAAATCTGTAATTGCTTTTAACAAGTCATGATCTCATCAACATTAACTGTTAGTATAAGAAAGGTGTCCAGACCAAACTCCAAACCTTGGAAGTGTTATATCAAGCAAAGAATATGTGGGCCAAACTTTTACAAGTTTCAGATTTCCGGAATTCATTCAAGGCCTCTGCTTCCTGCCACCAGAACTTTTTCAGCATCCATCCATCCATCACATTCAAAACAATAGAAGAAATGAGTGCAAATTAATGACATCGATGAAAATTAATGGATGACTCACATTTGGGTTCTGTTTTTGTGGCCAAAGTCTGAAATAAGAAAGTTTTGAAGCCAAAGTTTAAAGTCATTTGTGGCCCAAGTCTAAAATAACAAACTTTTGTGGCCAAAGTGTAAAACCCTAAAACTATACTTCGTCGCCAAACTATAAAATAAAAATCTTTTGTGGCCAAAGTTTAAAACCATATAACTATAATATTCATAAGCTCTTTTTTTAATATATATATATATATATATATATATATATATATATAATAATAATAATAATTCAACCTTAATAACAAAATTATAAAACCATTATACATTATATTGTTTTGATTGCCAAAAAGAAAACCATTTTTCCTAGTTACCATGTTTCAAAAGGCTAAAATACATAAAAGCACAATGTAGTTTCTCCATTTTACCAATTTACCCTTTTGAATTATTATTGTTTTTCCTAAAAACAACAAGTAAACCAACCTTAAGGTGGAGCCCAGTATCTGATTCTTTAAGGGGCAAATAGGCTTCTTCAGGAAGCAGTTTTCTCCACATTATTTCCTTTTCTTCATCCACCTTTTTCATCTCTTCAATATCATCAGATATATTGTTTGTTGTAATTTCCTGTTCAATTTTGTGCTTTTATCATCAGATTTTTTTTCTTAATTTCCTTCAGTAATCCCTTTCCTAAACCCTTAACAGCTGATTTTGGTTCTACTTTAGCTTCTGAAGTAGTTTTAGATTCTGATTTGCAGTTCTGTCAAGCCAAGTTGTGAGGTAGGTATGGATATGCGTGCATGACGTGCCTAACAAACAAATTAAAGCATTAAAAAAAAGAGTTTTCATTTGAAATGAAAGGAAGGTGAAGGTGAATCATGTTTCTTACCAGTGCTATCTCTAGTCCACCACCAAAAGCAGGCCCATTTATAGCTGCTACTAAAGGCTTTTCTTGCAGCTGCATGCAGCATAAAACACAGACCACAGCTTAAGGTAAGTGCTAACTAATAAAACACGATTGCTTATCTACATACCACTCATGCATATAAATTATAATGAATATTTACTATGGCTTTGGCTTTGTCTATTATTTAGGGGGGGGGGGGGGGGGTCTGGGCACCATCCATCCTTCTTCAAAGGCTTTGTCTATGATTGAGCATTCAATGCTTTTGATGGAGACCGGGTTTTCAATTATACCCAGCACACATGAACCTTCACATGGAGCGAGGCAAACCCGGTCCGTGAACTCTGGGAAGTTATTTGTTTCAAGAAGTCGATCCAATGCCTCACGTCATCTGTTCTGGACGGGTCACCCGATGTTTGACTGCATCAGCGACTCTTGATGGTCGGGTCACCTATTTGGCTTTTTCATCCTCCTTCACCTGGAAATCAAAATTAAACAAAATTACTTTTTTACCCCTCAAACAAATTCTAAAGCATTATAAATAAAAAAAGATATGATTCTCACCTGATTAATAGTGTCAATCAACTGATTAACTATCTCAGTCAGCGACTTAAGATCCTCAAAAGCATCTTTCTCCTTCAACACATCTTCCTCACGAATGTTAGCTTCTTCAGTAGCCAAATCATCTTTTTTTTTTTAGTTCTTTTCTATGGATTTTGACCCACTAACATTTTCAAATCACAATTTCTCAAACAAATAAAATATAGGGTTTAGAGCTCATTTTAGAGACAACTGATATGAAGGAAAAAAAAAACTCATGATACAGATATGCCTTGACCCCCTTTAGCCCATGCCACATTACAAACCCAATCAGCTTGTGGCTTACTACAGAGAGAACCTAAATTCAAATCTCTAACACATAAATTGAAGGAATTATTGTCTTTGTCATACATGGTGTATGCAATGAATCGATGACCAGGTGAGACTTCTGCTACCTCTTCATATGCATAACCTAAATCAAGTCATGTTAAAAGATTAAATGAAGTGGAAGAGAATTAGAGATCGTTGAAAGATGTTGAAATGATACTGGAATTGGAATTACCCCCAAATCTTTCTGCTTCTTGATTGTAATCGATGAGTTTTTGTTCAATCCTCTTCCCGGAGATGAAATCGAACCCACTTGTTGGACTTTTATGTGAAATGAACTATTCGTTTAGGATAGCTAATCTCCTACAGAGTACTAGAGATTGTTTCCCTTCCTCTACTCTCCTGTAATACAACCTGAATTCCACCTCCAAATTGCCAAAGAAGAACACGGAATTTGAATTCGGATCCAAAAGAAATCAACAAGCTTCAGATGATGTGCAATTTGAAATTGATGGTACCAGGGCCCCCAGCGAAATGGAGGAGTGGAGAGCTGAGAAGACATACGATATGCTATTTTTTATTGGAGTTTGGATTGAAGGCGATCGGTGTCTGCTAAAATAGCTTCAATCGAATGGCGCTGATGTAAGGAGTCACATACCATCAATCGAAGGTGTTTTGAGTGAGAGGAGTTGTTGGATCTCTCTGAAAAATTTATTGAGATGTGGTTCAAAGCCCTAGTTCTTTTCGTCGAATGGCGCTGATGAAAACATATGGATACTTGGCGACATAGTGGATAGGGAAGAGTATTGTCTGATGGCGCTAATAAAATCATACGAGACAAACACTCTTTATAGAATCCATGGCCGCTTAGAGCCGATGGGTTTCGATGCTGGTGATGGCGACTTACGGCTTGCAAAGAGAAGGGAGAGAGAGAGTGAAGATCAAGGTACAGGAAGACGAGTTGCTTCAAAAGGATTGACAGCCTCACAATAGAATTAGGGTTCTTTGTTAGAGGATTGTAGAAGGAGAGAAGCATTAGGCGGGTGTTTAATTTTTTGGGATTTCATTTCCCACCATCGCCGATTAAAAAAAAGCGAGAACGCGCCTTCCTAAAAAAAATATAAAACGACATCTTTACAAGACACGCTTTTTATGGTAGGTGCCTTCCGTGTTTTTTTTTGGACATTAATTTTAGGGCACGCAAAAATTCGCGCCCTCTGTCCTTCACATTTTGCAAAGCTGACATTATTTTTTAGGGCACGTACAAATGTGCGTCCTCTATCAGCGCATGTCATTGTTTGCGCGTCTCTAACGGGCTATTTTCTAATAGTGAACTAAACTCAGGTTGTTCCCTCCTATAAAAAGGCAAGAATGACAGCTACTGCCCTGAATTCCTAAATTGCCCTTGTTCTCCCACTACGTCTGCAGACCTGCTGGATATGTTATTGGACCTTCCTTCATGGGGAATCTTTTTCCTGTTATTCTTTCTCTTGTACGTGAATTTGAGTGTTGGGTGCACAACATTACCCCTTCCCTAAAGGTCAACCTTATCCTCAAGTTTGAATTCCGGAAAGATTTCTGAAATTGTTACAAAGTCTTCCCAAGTGGATTCAAATTCTGGAACTTCCTTCCACTTGATAAGCACTTGTGTGTTTTGACCTTTTTCTCCTGGCTGCATACGCACCCCTAGCACAGATTCAAGAGTCCAATCCAGTTTCAAGTCTTCTGTCATTTGAACTGGAAGGGTGGGAGTTTCCCTCTGATTTCCAATTGCCTTTTTAAGTTGGGACACGTGAAAGACCTGATGGATCTTTGCGGTTTCCGGTAATTGGATCTTGTAAGCCACCTTTCCCACCTTTTGTGTGATCAGAAAAGGTCCATAGAACTTCGTTGCTAACTTCTGAAAGGGTCAGTGGGCTAGGGATTGTTGCCTATATGGTTGCAACTTTAGGAATACCCATTCCCCTTCTTTAAAGTCGAAATTCTTCATGTTCCTATCTGCCATCCCTTTCATTTTCTGTTGAGCTTGAAGTAGATGTCCCTTCAGATCTTCCAGAATCGCATCTCGTTCCATGAGTTGGTCTTCTACAGCAGATACCGATGTATCTCCTTTATGTACCTTTAGGACACGGGGTGGGTCACGACCATATAAGGTCTTAAATGGAGTTGTTTTCCCTACGGTGTAGTAAGTTGTATTGTGGCAGAATTCAGCCCAGGATAGCCATTTGACCCACATCTTTGGCCCTTGAATGAAACAACGAAGATATAGTTCCACCGACTTGTTAACAATCTCCGTCTGGTCATCCGTTTGTGGATGGTAGGCGATACTCCTGAGCAAATGGGTGTCCTGTATCTTGAAGAGTCCCTTCCAGAATAGGCTCATGAAAATTTTGTCCCTTTTCCGACACTATTGAAGTCGGAACTCCATGTAGTCTCACCACTTCCTTAACAAAGATGGTTGTTAGCGTTGTGGCCGTAAGAGGGTGTTTGATAGCAATGAAATGGGGGTATTTGGTCAGCCTGTCCACCACCACCAGGATGGAGCTGTATCCTTCAGATTTGGGTAAGCCTTCGATGAAATCCATTGAGATCTCATCCCAAACTTGATTTAGAACCGACAGTGGCTGAAGTAGACCAGTCGGGTGGGTATTTGCAGATTTTTGGGTTTGACAAATGAGACACCCTTGTACATATTTTTGAATCGCCTTTCTCATTCCGACCCAAAACCACTCTGCCGCTAGCCTTTGGTATGTTTTGAACTCTCCTTCGTAGCCTCCCATTACGGAGTCATGAAACTCCTTAAGTAATAACTGGACAAACTTTGACTTTTAAGGAATGACCATTCTACCCTTGTACAGTAGTTTCCCATTCTCCCAGGTGAAACCCACATGAGTTCTCTCTCCAGTAGTGAGATCAACTATGATTTGTTAATTAAAGTGCTCGTTGCCCACCACTATCTTTAATTCGTTCATCGGTACAGTCCACGAGGATTGTAAGGATTGCAAATCTGCTTCTGTGGTTGTTCGAGATAGAACATCGGCCACCTTGTTTGTGATTTCGGGTTTGTATTAGATCTCAAAATCAAATCCAAGGATCTTACACATCCACTTCTGATACTCAACTCCCACTTCCCTTTGTTCCATCAAGAACTTTAAGCTTCGTTGATCAGTTCTAATGATGAAATGTCATCCCAACAAGTAATGCCTCCATCATCTAATAGCCAACACTATCGCCATCAACTCTTTTTCATAGATTGACTTGATTCGATTCATTACACCCAAAACTTGGCTGTAATACGCTATGGGGTGACCTTCCTGAATCAAAACTGCTCCTAACCCGACCCTGGAAGCATCGGTTTCCACAATAAACGTCTTGTCAAATTTGGCAAGGCAAGTATTGGAGTGTGTGTAAGGGCTAACTTCAGGACCTGGAAGGCATTCTTGGCAACCTCATTCCATCTAAAATTATCCTTCCTGAGCTGGTCTATTAGTGAGGACGCCATACTTGCATATCCTTTAATGAATTTTCTGTAGTATCCCAGTAGGCCCAAGAAACCCCGTAGCTCCTTCAAGGTAGTGGGAGTTGGCCAAGTCTTAATTGCCTTGATCTTTTCCTCGTTGATTTCCACCCCTTGTTTCGAGATAACATGTCCCAGATAAGATATCTGGAGGCTTCCCAACTCACACTTATTTGGGTTTGCAAAAAATTCGTGTTGGTCTAGTGTTTTCAGAACCAGTTCCATGTATGCCCTATGTTGACCTTCGTTTTAGCTATACACTAAAATGTCGTCAAAGAATACCAATACGAACTTGCGAAGATACGGTTTGAATACCTCGTTCATCACAGATGGAAAAGTCGTTGGAGCATTAGTAAGGCCGAAAGGCATGCCCTTACATTCGTAATGTCCTTCGTGGGATCAGAAGGCTGTTTTATGTGTCTTCTTCCTTCATTTGGATTTGGTGGTACCCAGACTTAAAGTCTAATTTGGAGAATACCCAAGAGCCATGAAGTTCATCCAACAGCTCATTAATGATGGGTATGGGAAATTTGTTTTTGACTGCAACTTTGTTAATGCTACGATAGTCCACACAGAACCTCCATGGCCCATCTTTTTTTTTAACCAAGAGAATTGGACTCGAAAAAGGACTCCTGGAAGGCTGAATGATACCCGATTGGAGCATATCTTGTAATAGCCTCTCAATTTCTACTTTCTGCGCGTGGGTGTATCCATATGGTCTCACAGATACTGGTTCTGTCCCTTTTTTCAAATGTATGGAGTGTTGTTGGTTCCGCTCAGGAGGTAATCCACCCTTCCATAAAAACTCCGATGCATATTGGCTAACTGTGGAATCCAAGTATGCCGGACATAACGATAACCTAGTAATGGATGGAAGTGGTTCGATGAGATTGAGTTAAACCCATAGACTGTTGGATAAGGTGTCTAAGTCCATAACTATTTCTGGTATGTACTTGACCCGACCCGGCATGGTCCATTTGGGTTGCATGGCACCATGCAATTGGATAGACTAAATGAGAGAAATAACACTTGGAGATTATTAATATATTATAAGTTCTAATATATTAATAATAATATTTGATTAGTTTGATCAATAATTAATTTAGAATTAATTAAGTGATCAAAAGAGAACTAATTAAATATATGGGTTGATTATGTAAATTATCCATATCTTGTATAGTGGGCTAAGAGGCTCCATGGATTATCAAGTTGGGTTCCACCCATAGGATGCTCCATGGATGCTCCATGGGAGTTACAAACCCATGGGTCATGGAAATGAAGAGTCATGACACATTAGGGTTTACATGGTGTAACCCTAAATGTGTCAACACTATATAAGAATCATAGTCTCCACCAAAATCGGCTACATTAAGGAAACAAGAGGGCTTGGCCGATTTCAAGAAGTGTGCATTCTCTCAAAAGTCTTTCCAAGAGCATTTGGTGTTGTGTGAAGCATTTGAGGCATCACACTTGGGGTGCTAGGCTCATAAGGTTTAAAGGAACATAAGCAACAAGGTAAGTTATTCTATCTATCATTCAAGTTAAAATTGTTCCCCATGTATGCTAGATAGGAATATAACCTTGGAATTCAACTTTGCATGATAATTAGACAAACATAGATCCAAGGTTATTAGGGTTGCATGTACACTTAGGAAGTGTTAGTATGATCAAAACCCAACAGTGGTATCAAAGCCTAGGCTTTTTTGTTTGTTATTTGTGCTAAAAAGTTGAAGAAAGTCGAAAAACTTGTTGTCTGACTGCTGGACTCGTCGAGTCCATGGGGGGACTCGTCGAGTTCACTTGTATCTTCAACCTACTCGTCGAGTAGGTTAATGCACTCGGTGAGTAGGGTCGACAAAGTGCAGATTTTCGACTTTAGTTGCTGGAAATGGATTAGAAACATTACCCTAAACTGTTTTGGTACTTGAAAACTTGTTTTAGATGGTGTAATGTCTTTTCTAATTCATTTACAACAACTAGTTATCAAAATTACAAAGTTTTAAGTGTAATTTTGATTTATGAATGTGTTCATATTCATGTTCTTGTTCTTATGATGTTTTAGATGATCATAGGAATTATTTGTAACCTATGTGGTAGATTAATTCTTGATCATAATGTGTTTTAATGGAGTCCATAACTTGTCCTCAAGTTATGGAAAACCAAGAGTCACACTTGAATTAAAACCATTAAAAGAACACAAGAGTTAGAAAAATGAAGAGTCTTCATTTTATTACTCTATTAAACTCATAAGTTACAAGAAATGAAAAGTTTTGAAAGTTACAAAACTTGCCCTCAAGTTTTGGAACAAGTAAAGTCTCATTAAAACTTTAGTTCCAACCCTTAGAATTTTAAAAGTTAAAATTCAACCCTTATACTTATATTATTATAATTTAATAATTATATATATGTATAAGAACAAAGTCGTCTTACCGCTAGTACGCCTCATTCACGAAGCCGGTCTATAAGGTGGGTATAAGGTTGTTGCCTATAAAATGGCAACTTAATGGGTGTCCATTCTCACCCACCGCTCGCTTGACTGGTGGAGGGTCGTTAGCCGAACGGGTAGGACAAGGACTTATAAATTCTCATTAAAAGTATGATGAATATTGTAAAGTAACTAAATGTTTTATTAAATTCCCAATCTTAGTTACTTTAGGAAAATGTGAATAAGGTGCTAATCCATGAAATTACACTTTACACTTTGTCTAAGTCGTTGGTGGAGCGTGTGTGGTTAACCGGCACACTAACTTGGACTTAACAAGGTAGGTAAAGGGTGACTTAAGGTTTATTATAGTATCGGTGGAGCGTGTGTGGTTTACCGGCACATCGATTGAGTGATAAACTTTAAGGGTACCAAGTGATTTGCATGGTTACTTCACACCTCGTTTTGTGATCCTCGGTATCCCAGTCACAAAACTTGGAGGGCACACTCGAGATTGAAACATGCCTTTGAAAAGTTCATTGAATCTCAAAGAATCTAGGAATTTCTAAGAACCAATCATAAAACCTAATATCTAATATTTCGGTTTTCGTGGTGGAAATTGGTGAATCGTCATTCACCTACCTTTCAAATATGTTATAGCTTGGATTACGGCATACCTCTTCTAAGTTATAATATATTGTGATTGGATCCTAGCCTTAATATTACATTTGGGTGTTTTATTAAGGACTCTCTTAATATCTAAACTAATCTTGTCCTCTTCCTTCAGATGTCT